AGCTAGGGGCTCTGGGGCAAGTGATGCTCTGTCTTCTTGGTGCTTGGGGGGGGGTCAACAGTGGGAGGGCTTCTAATGTCCTGGCCCCACTGCTGGACCTCCTGATGGCACTGGTATTTCTGGCCACTGTGTGACACAGAGTGTTGGACTGGATGGGCCTTTGGCCTGATCCAACATTGGCGTCTCTTATGTTCTTATGTTCTTATTTTCACCTGAAGAGTTGTATAAAATAGCTGTCAAGTCAAAAACTGCATATTTAGTATGTTCAAGAGAAGCCAGTCTTTCTCTGTGACATAGTAACTTTTTTAAAAAAAATGTATATCCTACAAAGGTTCTCCAAAGAAGTGGAAAGATGACCTCCTTAACAGTTAATATATAACAAAATTCATGGCAGGGTATGAGTTTTCATGAATCACTGTTCAGTTCTCCAGATACTCTTCTTCAGGTATCTTCTTCAGGTATCTTCGGGTATGTTCTTCAGGTATCTGAAAAGGTGAACAGTGACTCACAAAAGCTCATACCCTGCCACTAATTTTGTTAGTCTTGAAGGTGCTCCTGGACTCTTGCTCTTTTCTGCTCCTACAGACAGACTACCATGACTACCCATCTTGATCCATCTTAATGAATATATAGATTGACACTGAATTTGCATCCCTGAAACCATGGTGGCTTATGTGTGTTGAGCACATTTAGGCATCTGCATGCTTCTCACTTGGGCTCATGTAGAATGCTAAGAACTCTACCCCTAGCATTGCACTTGGTTTCCATTCCTTCTGTACCCCTTGAGTGTCCAACCAGGAATTTGGAGTGGCTGATATCCATGTCAGATATCCTAATTTACTATCAATAGCATGTCTGCATCAGCTAATTTTTGATCTAGTTCTGCTATTCCTATTCTAGTAGTAGGCTTGCTAGGTAGAGGCAACGTACCATCGTGCAGGCAGGGGAGGAGGGGAAATATAGGCAAAAGCTACCACTTGCCACCCTTTATGTGTGAGAGAACTCACTTGGAGACTGGGGAGGAACTGAAACAAAGGCCGAGTCCCATTTCTCCTCCAGTGATAGTGGCGATTTCCTCCCAGATCTCCTATATAAGCCACCTTATGTTTCACAGTGGAAGTAAGACATGATACAAGAATTTATATATCCAAAAGTGATATGTGGCCCCCATCTGTGGACATCTAGATCCACAGATTGGCACCACACTGACACTAATCTTTTTGCAAACTTGGGGGACCCCTCAGGTTTCAGAAAAATCTAAAATCCTTAAAAAAATACATTGGGGTGTTTTAAATCCCTCCAAACAAGAGGGGTTTTTTTCTGTCTGTTTGTTTGTTTTGCAGAAGCCCAGACAGGTAGCCTGGCACTGGCACAGTAGGCTGGAGAGCCGGTGGCATGGTGGGCAAGCAGGCATTGCACCGAGGATGGTGGTAGCAGGTGGGTGAGTTCTGTGCCAAGGATTGGGGGAATGGCATAGGCGTAATCTTCGTGGGGGCGGCGGGGCGTGAGCCCCCGCCGAAATTTTCAGGAAGATACTCAGCCTCCCCCGGGAGCCACCCTTGCTCCTAGCAAAGCAATGCCTCTGGTCGAGCCCCAGCCCCCCCCCCCGGGAAATTGGAAAGTCTACACCCTTGGGGAATGGGAGGGGACCCTGCCAAGGATGAGGGAAGCGGGAAGGCAAGTGCTGTGCAAACAATGGGATCCAGGCAAGCAGAATGTTGACAATGGTGGGGGGGGGAGCTGAGCACCAACGGCAGAGGAAAGGAGAGCACAGATCCAGCAATGGAGGGGGAGGTGAGCAGAGAGATGATCATGGGGAGGGAGTGGGTGGACAGAAAGCTGAAGTAAAAGACTGGACAGAAAGTAGATAAAGCTTTAGATGGGAGGAGCAGAAAAGGTGAAAAAGGAACATCGAAGAAGGGAGGGGAAACAAAAAAAGGTGAGTGAGTGGGGACAGAGGCTGCCTAGGGTACCCAGAAAAAGGCAGGCATAGAAGTGCGTGGGTAGGCGGGAGTAAAGGAAAGGCAAGAGGCTGCAAACAAAGACGGAGAGGAAATGAGGGGGGGAGCCCAAGAGGGAGAGAAGTAGGGTAATTGGGCTCTTTTCACACCCCACAGTGAGTCCTCAGGGGTCCTCCACTTGGATGTATGTAATAGAAAGTTATGGGTTCTCTGGATCGGTGACAATAAAGATCAAATGCGCACACATGCTAGGAGATGCAAAAGAAGGTGGGGACAACAAATAGATCACCTTTGTATTGTGAGGGACAATGGCTGAATCAGGATCTGAGATCTTTTGGGACATCGTGGTGGCGGCGATGGTGGTGGGGAAATGCCATGGAGTTGCAGCTGATTTAGGGTGACCACATAGGGTTTTCAAAGCAAGAGACACAAAGAGGTGGTTTGACATTGCCTGTCTCTGGGTAACAACTCTGGACTTCCTTGGTGGTGTCCCATCCAAGTACTAACTGGGGCAGGCCCGTAGGTACAAATTTTTCAGGAGGGGTGCCGGGGTGCCTGGTGGTGCTAATGTAATTAATGGAGATAACCTAATTAATTTTACCCTGCCTTTCTCCCCTCTTACACTGCTTCCTCCAGACAGGAGGAGGATGAGAAGGGAAGCTGTTAGCCTGCAGGGATCTAGAATTCCGACATACCTGGGAAGGGCCAGGGGAAGAGTCTGGTTTGCAGCGCCATGAAGGGGCGGATGTCTTAGGGATTTCGGGGGTGACCAACCTCTTCGAGCTGGAACTGGCAGATGTGGCAAAAGGGGCTGGCCCTGGGAGCACGCATTGCCCACATCAGCTCCTTCCTTGGCAACCAGCTGTGTGCTCAGGAGGCAAGGCCGGGTTGGGCAATGCAGGGGGAGCAGCTGCAAGCCAAGCTGACCTCTGGAGGCAGCTGATCCAGGAAGGGGTGCTGCGCCAACTTTGTTTGCAGCCCAGCTGACGGGGGGAACCCCACCCCCGAAGTGGCCAGATCAGGCCGACGTGCCAGCGTGATGACATCGCCCAGAAGTGACATAATCACACTAGGCATGTTGCCGGGCGATTGCTAGAGTGTCGCCCGGCAATGTGCCTAGCGTGATTATGTCACTTCTGGGTGACATCATCGGGGCACGTGTGCGCTTTGTGCATGCGTGAAACTCCCGGACCGGGACTGGGTCTCCCCCGCTATGCCAGGTAAGAGACTTGGCAACCCTCTCTCTACCACCGGCACACATGAGCAAGGGCAAGGTGGGTCAGCCCACTTTCTCCTCAGCCGCTCTGTGTGCAGCCTGTTCCCAGGAGGGGAGAGGGGGTGGGGGACCAGGAGAGGGGCACATGGGAATTGGTTGTGAGGCAAGTGGGAATTTGGGAGGGGTGACATCCCATACACCCCATATTAGCTATGGCCCTGAACCTGGGCCAACTTGACTTAGCTTTCAAGGTCTGATGAGATCAATCTAGCCTGGGCCATCCAGGACAGGGCACTGGGAACCTGGGGATATTATTATTATTATTATTATTATTATTATTATTATTATTATTATTATTATCATCTGCTGTGGAGGGTAAATTGCCGGAGTTCCCTAGGCAATGAAGTTAACTTTGCGCTCTCTCCCTGCCCCCAGCTTTACCTCACTGGACTCTGTTGTTTGGAATTTGTTCTCTCTGGGCCAGAATCCAGCCCCAGAAGTCAGCCAGGATAGGATTAAAATATCAAGAACACCAACATGCCACAAGAGAAGGTGAGGTCAGGGTTTCGTTACCCTTACCTGCATATTCTGATAAGCGTCACCCTTCCTGACACAGTAGGAAAAAAAATTATTCATATGTCAATGTTGTTATGCCTCCTTCTGCAAGGGAGAATTTTAATTCCCTGTCTATTCTATTTGCAATTTTTCAGGAAAGATCCCTTAGGCAAGCAGTGAACACCAACCAACTTGCATCCCAGTACGGTTTGGAGGGAAGATGTGCCTGTGTTTCCCAATGAAACCAATGGAATCAGCTGTCAGAATGATTGTTTTAATTTCATTATTAAAAACTTGACTCGAGTTTTCAAAATGGCAAAAGAACTGGATCCAAATCTATCCCGCCCACACCTCTGTTAGCATCTGGAAATGCATTTATAAGGTAAAGTTCAGCTTGGTGATAATTGCAGTTTCTCTCTTCCCTAATGATGGGCCAGAACCTCTGGCTTGCATATAGCACATACATGTAATGTGGAAGCTGATTTTGGTTTAATTACTCTCATACGCGCTTCAAATTATTTGGTTTTATATGTTCTGATCCATCACCTAATGCAGGAAGTAGACAATTACCTTCAGTGAGCCTATAAATTTTAACAGTGTTGTTTAAGTATCTCTTAAATCTGAGCAATTAACACAATCACCTCCCAAGCATCCCCACAGACATCCGTCTTTAGCTTTCCCAGTGGATGATGTCTCTGTTAGTTACTGCTAATTGAACTCTAAATCAGAAAGCTTCTTGGGATGTAATGAAATAAACCCATCTTTTTCTCTTCTTCTGCTTCTTCTCCTTTTTCATTAATAGCTGGGACCAACGTTCACCAAACTTCAAAGGCATTGATAAGTAAAGACTTTTCATCACGGGAGCTTCCTGTCTTCGTTCTAATCTTTCATGCTTTCTGGCGCACAGACATCAAACGAGTCCAAAGAGAATTGCAGCACTCCAAAGCAATGCTACTCTCGAGCTCTCCCTGTCTGTAAAACTGTATGTTTAGTAACAGTCCACACAATTAAAACGAGAAAGCAATTATTTACATAAGTTATCATTTAATAAACGTCACCATTCCCAACCCCCTGTTTTTCCTTTGCCCCAACTGTAGAATTGAATAGTTCAAAAGCGACATCCAAGGCTCAAGGGATGGCTGGAAGAAAATGAAAAAGAATTAGGAAGTGTCTTCTGTAGAAGTCTTCAAAGGAAAGGCATCCAATTTATGTTTCGTTCTTACTTACAATGTCGTTTGCATATTTCATTGTTTCTGTCATCTTACTTGTTACAATCCATCTAAGGAGTTCTCAAAGAACATTAAGTCCTACACATAAATAAACAGTGAGTGAGGAGGAAGATACAAAAAGGCAACAATTAATATCAAAAGACTGACTTCTAGAGTTTTATTTCAAGTTTTTTCTTTCATTAGGCAGCAGTTCTTGGGCTTAGCATCTGTGATCAAGGAAAGTCTCATGCAAGAAATCAGAGAGGTTTAAAGGTCAGGAGAATTTTTCCTTTGAGCCATGTCAGAATAAAACGTTGAAATAAAAACTGAATCTTTATGTACCAACATTTGACGTTTGGTCATGACATTGGATCCATCAGGAAACATGCCTGATTATCGTAGTCCAGTGAAATACTGGAGTATGTTCCTCACTTTGAAAATGCAAAGTCTGCCATCAAAATCAATCTGCTAACTTTTCAAAGTTTTCCTGCTGCACATGCCCATCTTTCTATGGATAGTAGGTGACAGCCTTCCAAATAGACCTGGACTTGGACTGGCACCCTGTGCTATGCCTTAGAAAACATAACAGCACTGGGGTGGGGGGATTCTTGCAGTCTACTTTTTAAAAAGTGAAATATGATAACCAGCATTACAGGTAAAGTATAACAGAGGAGGAACAATCACTGTCAGAACCCTGCCTAACCTAATAAACAGGAAGCTGCTTAAATGCTATCAACCTGCCCAAACTACATATTTATTCAAATATGTATATCCCACTTTCCCTTGTGACTCAAGGCAGCTTACAAATCATACTGAAAAGCATAATGGGAGTGTGTTAAAAATATTTTTCCCAGCTCCATTGTAGCCTATGGGGACCATTATAGTCAGTGGGCCCCATAGGCTATAGTGGAGAATCAATTCAGGGCTCTGAGGGGGCTGTGTTTGAGGTTTGCACATAGCTCCTGGTGCCTCTCTTCACCCCTCCCCACGTTTCAAAAAGATTGGACCGGGGGGTCCAATTCTATGGGCCACAGAAGGAGGTGCCCCCATCCTCCATGGTTTCCAATGGAGGAGAAAAATGCCTTGTGGGCTAAAACAGAAATCCCTGAGCTGCCTGTTAAAATTTTGTGTGCCAGCATCCCCAGCACAGCTTGGAGGGAACCATGTTTGGAACACCTTGTGCACTTCTGGTTGCTGTATCTCAAAAAGATACAGCAGAGCTAGATAAAGGACAAGAGGGGGGTTAGAGTACCTTTCCTATGATGAGAGGCCAGAGAACTTGGGGCTCTATAGTAAAGATGGCTAAGGGAAGATATGATACTGGTTTATAAAATTACAAGGGGGGACCCGCGATACTCGCGGGGGAGGGGGGAGAAGAGCTCCGTCTCCTCCATCCCCCCCATCTCCCCGCGGCGGCGGCGAGGCCGGTTTCCCCCCCCCGCCTGCCGGCTCCGGGGAGGAGGAGGAGGCGGCGGAGGCAAGGTCCGGCTTCCCCCCCCCTCCCTGCCCGCCCGCCCGGCCTCCCCGGCTTCCCCGCGAATTTTTTTTAAACTTTTTGTATTTTTGTGCACACGTGGGGACTGGCACACGTGCGCACAA